GGCCTGGCTCGGCGCCCTCAGGCAGCCGCGGTGTCTCCGCCACGCTGCCGGCGACAGGGACGCTCAGCACCCGCCCCCGCGGGCCGGGCCTTCCCGCTGCCCCTTTCTCAGTGCAGCGCCCCAGGCCTGGTCCGCCCCGAAAAGTCCAAGGTAGGCGGGATGTGGCCGGCTCCGGGGTCTGCAGCCTCGACCCCTAGACGGTCCGGCGGGGATTTGGGAAATCCTACGGGAGCCTTCCTTACAGAACTCCCAGCCTTAACGGTGCCATATTTTGCAAAAGAGGAAAAAGAGCACTGAGCCCTCCTCCTTCTAAATTCCCCCCACAAGTTCTCCCTCTCTCATCAGTGAGCCCCCTTCTCCTGAGTGAGGCCCCTCCCCTTATTGAGTCCCCTCCCTACACCGATTCTTTGTCCCTTAGTCCCATTCATTGCACCCCTCACCCAGCCCCTTTCCCCTCTCCGAGCCCATTCCTCCTCCCCAGTCCTCCTTTTCCCTCACTGAGCCCCCCTCACTGATACGACTTCCTTAATAACTGCTGTCCTGGTCCCTGAGCTGCCTCCCCCTGCCCACCCGACTGCCTCCCTCCCTCACACCTCTCCTTCCTCCAGCCCTGGCCGCCTCTCTGAAATATTCATAGCTTCTCCTCGCCCTCCTCCCCTTAGCCTCCAGCCTCCCGAGGCCTCCTTGCTCTTCAGCTGCAGGCTGTCATCAATCACTGCCTAGCGGCAGCAGGCGCAGACCCCAGCACTCTGCCTCAGATGCTCCCCATCCATCTTGCAGAACTCTCCCTTGCACTGGGCAGGGACCCCGGTCCCTGCTCCTGGCTCAGGAGTCCCCAGCCTTCTGCCAGATGTTTGCACCCTGCGGGCACTTCAAAGAATGCTTTTTTCGGAAAGGCAGCTGGGCTTAAGGCAAATGCATGAATTTTGAAGCTGCAGATGTGCCCTCATCACACACTGTCCCTGAGTCACTGTGTGACCTGGTGCCTGTCATGCCCCCTCTCTGAGCCTCTTCTCCAAGATGAGAGTGATAACTGTGTTATAGGGCTTTGGGAGAATTTGCTAGGTAACGGGTGCTGTGCAACTTTGTTTTTTGCTGAACAAGCCCAGAAACCACCCTCCAAAGGTCCAGCTCCAGCATAATGGCTCCAGAGTGGTGCCCCCCCCATTTCATTTTTCATTCCATACTGGCTCAGACAGTGCCCCTTCCGCATGGAGGCTCAGCCCTGGTTTTGGCAGAATTACCCTCACTCCTGGGTGCCATTTTACCTGGCTCATTCTTTCCCTGACCGGAGAGGAGGAGGCCAGGACTTGGGTGGCAGAGTGTTAAAAACATGACGTGGGCTTTGGATTCACACGGAAAGGTCTGAATCCAGGCATGACCAAGCTCACTGAGCCTCGAGGTCCTTATCTATCCAACGAGGAAAAGGATACCTCAGCTTTGAGGAGGGATTAAGTGAGATTCTGTCTTTGAAGCTCCTGTTGTCCCACACATGGTCACCACTGTGAGAAGAGGAGCCTCTATCTGACACTCACATACCAACACACCCTCTTCCAGGGAGAAAAGCCATTGTGGCACATGAAAGAGATACAGGACAAGGAAGGCAGGCCACAGGCACCGAGGGAAAAGAATTTTCAGGGACAAATCTCCAGCAGAACACCCACTAATCTGCTAATCTCGAATCTCAGGAATGTCATTCAGTTCCCTAACACCAACCTGACCCTGGCAGCCTTGAAGTCATCCAGGTAGTACAGGAGGTTTATCTGGGGTGATGAAGGAAGGAGAGGCTCATGTCATTCTCCCACCTCCACAGAATCAAACACCCCCACATCCCTTCACTCAAACCTCTGTGCTTTTCCCCACGCTCCTCTTCCTGAAGCCAGTGGCCTCCCACCTCCTGTGTCTGTCCCTGAAATCTCCAACTCCTTGGCCTAGTCAGCACCCCACCCTCCCAGGGCCTGTCACCCCACACAGCCCTCAGCCACACAAATGCCTGACACATAAAATACAGTCTTTAGCAAAATTTAAGGGCACTCCAGCATTGTGTTGGTGAGCCACTGGGAGGAGGGGTTTCCATTTATATGGACACAAAAATGAGGACGGTTATTCACAAAAATAAAATAGCTCAGTTTGGGCACTGTCTTCAGCAGGGATCCTTTCTTGCCTCCTAACATCCAGCTGAGTTAGCCACTGAGTCTAGGCCCTCACTGAGCTCCCCTTCTCCTCGCTGTGCACTCTCCTTAGTATGCTGGCCACACCCCCAGGGTCATCTCTCCTTTCTTCCTCTGTAGCAGGGACAGAACTCCCTCCCCTCCACCCCACCTTCCTCCCTAGGGCCTTATCATTTGGACTCTCATTCCTCAGTCCTTTCTGAGAGGCTTACTTGAGAGCAGGCTTAGGGTAGGAGTAGCAGGCTCAGGGAGAGGCCCAAGGTCTCAGAACCTTCTGGTAAGACTTGTCGTGGGGATATCAATGGAAGTAGGCTGCTGCAACCTCTTTTGCTAGTTTTGTGGGGCTGGTACTACTATATCTGCTTTGTAAGATCTCCCAGGGTTCTCCTATCCTGCTTTTCCTGGGTGACAATATCACTAATAATAATATTTTCTAATGTTTAAATAGTTCTTTGCAGTTCACAAATCCCATGCAGAGCCACTTAGAGAAATTGCACCTTCCCCCATTTTACAGATGAAAACACCGAGGCCCAGAGAGAGAAAGGAACATCCCCTATGGTTTTGGGACCTTCGAGTAAAGAATATAAGTTCACCTATGCAGTTGGCTTTGAGAAGTCATGTGCAAACAGGACAGCTCTTGACTTAGCTGGCTGGGCTTCCCTGCTGTAGATGTTAGCTCAGCTGTCCCCTTCCTACTTTATAGTAGGGGGTGTGTACTGAGCTTTAGATTTAATATTTCCTGCTCTTAAGTTCATGTTTGTGGTCTAGTTTACTTCTCAGGGGAGGCGTTTCTCCTTATGACAGAACAAACCAAGCCCCACAGAGCTGACCAAAGCAGGTCCAAAGAGTCCACTGCAGAGGGACCAAGCACATATCGAGGTTGAACACAGCACCTCATAGGACACATGCTGGACTGGCTGCCATGGGCAAGGTTCTGACCTAGGAAAAGGCTGCCTGTCACATGCCCTTCTTCCCACCAGCAGTTTTGCTAATTAACTGGTTCTGTTTCCCATTAGCCAGAAGCATAATGGCCATTTGACAGATGAATGAGTCCAGACAGAGGAGTGGCAGACCCCAGGCAAAGGCTCTGCCCTCTCTGCTCATTCACTCAGCCAGTGTGCCAGGCCTGCCAAGGACCTGAAGGGGTGGGGTGAGGGACAGTGGTGGCAGGAACAGGAATGAGTCAGGCCTGGGGCCTCTCCTCTATTTCCTCAAAATGCAGCATATATTATAATTACTAATTATAATATGCACTGTGCATATTATAATTACTAATACAGGTTCCAGGTACTATTCTAAGCACTTTACATGTATTTATCTCATTTAATCATTTAATGCGCCCAACAAGCCTCTGATGTGGGTATCACCATTAATATTCCCACCTTACAGAAAAAACAATGAGGCACAGAGAGGTCACACTATGTATAAAATTAGATGCACAGAAAAAAGAGATGAATTTGCTCACTGTGTTAGAAAGTAGCTTGTGAATTTTGTTTTCTATAAATCCTCTCTCCCAAACATTTTGTTATATTACATAACTATGAAAACAATTATACTTAAAAGTTGTCATCTATTAGAGTGAAAAAAGAAAAAAACTGACAGCGGCCACAAGAAGTAAAGTAAAACATATACATTCCAAAGAAGAGAAGGTTTTACTTTTATCCTAGGAATGTGGACAAAGTGGTTTTTAGAGGCAGCCTTGGATGATGGGGTGTTTTGAGCCTGCGTAGAAGGGGCAAGGGTGTTTCAGGCTGAGGGCCCAGTATGAGAAAAGATGTGGGGGAGAGACTATGCAGAGCATGGCTGGGAATTGCCAGCAGGTCAGGCTGGCTGCTGCGTGATGCTGAGAGTGGGAAACCAGGTTGGGTCTAGTGTGTGGAGGCCTTGAATGCCAGGCCAAGGAGTCAGGACTTGATTGCATGGGTGATGGGGAACCCACAGACAGTTTCTGGGGGGCAAAATAGGACTCTTCACATTTCCTAATCATTTCCAAGGACAAAAGCGTGTCCTCTCTCCATATCTCTGGGACCTCATGCCTCGTCTCCATAACCTCTTCCCCAGCTGCCCCACTGTTCACCCAACTGATCATCTTCCAAAGGTTAAAGCCCCCAAATACCTGCCTGACCACATCACACCCCTCAAAACCACCCACTGGCTCCCACCATCTATGGGATCATATCCAGATACTGCAGCAGTGTGACATTCTGGTATCTAGTATGGAGGGTAGACTGGAGGTAGGACTGTCACAAGAGGCTGTCACTTAAACCAGTTAGTCAGCTTAAGGAGGAAGGATGATCCCTGAGGATTAAAAGGCTCTGGGAGTGACTCTGTCCCTGTTGAGACCCTTTCCTGAATGGGAGGTGTCATGGGCTCTTACAGTGCCAGAGGGTAAAAAAATCACACACACACACACACACACACACACACACACACACACACACACACACGGTGAAGATCCTTTAGTTGGCTCTTCTTTGTCATCTCACTCTGAGAAGGCATTGAATTTCCCCACATCTCAAATTATCAGTCTATGAGTGGNTCCTTTAGTTGGCTCTTCTTTGTCATCTCACTTTGAGAAGGCATTGAATTTCCCCACATCTCAAATTATCAGTCTATGAGTGGGTGTGGGGTATCAGGGTCAGGAAGCTAAAGGCATTAACACAGGGACTGATGGGTGGTCAGAGGGCTTCATGGATCCCCGTGAGAATCCCGCAGTTGGCAGAGAGGGTGGAGACAAGGGGCAGAGAGGGTGGATTGACCAAGTTAAGGTCAATCTAGTACTAACCATTGCCAGGCCTCCTGTTATCATGGGGATTGTGACTGTTATGGACTGAATGTTTGTGCCCCCCCAACCCCCAAATTCATATATTGAAACCCTAACTCCAATGTGATGGTATTAGGAGGCAGGGCCTTTCGGTGGTAATTAGGTCAAGAGGGTGGAGCTCTCATAAGTGGGACTAGTGCCCTTATAAGAAGAGACAGAAGAGCTAGCTTTCTTTTTGTCATGTGAGGATATAAGAAGGTAGCAGTCTACAACCCAGAAGACATTCCTCACCTGAACCTGACCATGCTCTCAGACTCCCAGCCTGCAAACCTGTGAGAAATAAATTTTGCTGTTGATAAGCCACCCAGTCTACGGTATTTTTGTCATAGTAGCCTGAGCTGACTAAGACAGTGGTGGTGATCATCTATTAGTGATACATGTCTGCTGTATGCTAGTGACTATTCCTCACACTTACATTCATTGTCTCATTTAATTTCCTCAATAGTCCTATGAGGTAGGTACTAATATCTCCATTTTATAAGTAGAGAGGTGGAGGCCCAGAGAAGTTAAAGACCTGCTCCAGTCACACAGCTGGGGTGAGGTGGAGCTGGAATCCATAGCCCAGGGGGTTAACATTGAACTTAAGGGTTTGGACAGGTGGAGTGTCTGACACCAGAACCCACACCCTCCCTCCACTACCCCGCACTTGGAGCTAAGAATTGAAGGTCCACAGGAAGGCAGGTACCTGACTAATCTGTCACCTGCCTCCGGCCTTGAGTTCAGCACCACAAACAGCTCCTCCCAGCCTCTCAGTAATCCAGGGCGCTTCTGCCTCCTGAGCTTGCTGCAGTCACCATTTGGAGTGCTATTTTCACACCATTTTGGTTGCCCAAGCTAAAAGAAGCCTCCTGGTCAAACCCCTGCTCTATGTAAAGGAGGAACCTGAGGCTTTGGGGAAGACTGACAAGCTGCTTTGTTCTAGGCATCAGGGATATAGCAGTAAACAAAACTGATAAAGATTTTATCTTCATGGAGCTAACGTTCTAGTGGGCTCCCAGGATCCTGCCAAGTCTATGGTCTCCCCTGCCTCCAGAGTAGGAGTCCTCCCTGACCATCAAGTCTCCCAGACACTGCCTCTTCCAAGGAACCTTTCCTGACTGGCAACCCTGACCTGTCCCCCTCAGTTCCTCCGCTGGACAAGAACAGGGCTGAAAGGTTCAAGTGGCCACATTGTCAGTAGTTGCCAGTAATTCCTGGTTTTAGGTTTCAGGTTTGTGTTTCCACCCAGAGAGCAGGAGGCATGTCTTCCCCTCATCTCCTCCCCCCTCATTGTACTAGCACAGGGTTAGGCATGCAGATGCTCAAGGACATTTCTTTTTATTATGGAGGCACTACAACATTCCCATGGCATATTTCCCAGTGTGTCCCAGTTCTTAAATGCATCATTCATTCATTCATTCATTCACTCAAGGAAAGATAAGATCAAGACTACTGGGAAAGACCTGGGAATCATCCGCTAGCAGGAGAGATTCAGCCGTGGAAAGGATGAGATCCCCAAGGAGAGGAGGGAAGGCAGAAATTGGAAGAGAGCTGAGGACATCACAGAGCCTTGCAGGGAATGGCACCAACATCTGGGAAGTGGGCAGGAATGAGGGAGACAGAAGAAGCCATCAGAGGGGCAGGAGGAATCACAGAGAACTGCATCTTGGAAGCCAGGGGGGAAAGTCGGTTTTCAGAAGGAGAAGCACAATGGTGGCAATTGCTGGTGATATCAGGCCCACAGAATGGTAAGTAGGATTCAGGTGGTTACAGCCTGAACAATTCAAGGCAGTCATGGGGCAGAAGCCAGATCTCTGTGGCTTAAAGAAGTGGAGACAATGCACGCCACACACTCTACAGAAATTTGGTTGTGAAAGGAAAGACAAATGTGGGCTGGTATCCAGAGGAAAAAGCAGAATTGAGAAAGAGCAATAACCACATGAAGAGGAAGGAGCCCGGGGGAGGGAAAGAGGCAGGCCTGAGCTGGAAGGGCCCAGAGAAGGTGGCAGGTAGAGTCCAGAGGAGGCCTCTCACCCTCACACAGGATGGAAGAGGAAAGGGCAGGTGATTTCCAGAGGAGTCCTGGGCAATTTGAGGGGGCACTGGTCACAAAGCCAGAACCTCTCGGGTTTAGAGATGGTGTGGGCAGGAGCTGGAGGATTTGGTTTGTCAGGAGGTTTGAGAAACAAAGAGAAGGGCTGGCCTTGCTTTGCAAGGAGCTAGCTGGCATCACTGAGGGGGAAGACACAGGAGCTGTTGAGGGATACTGGGAGTTCCTTGGGGCTGGAGAGGAGTTGGTGGTATCACCTTTTCCCACCAGAGGGGAAGAGGGAGAGGTCAGCTGAGCCTGGTTCCTCCAGGTCACCCCTGAGGCCCTCACAAGCCTGAGGCTGCTCCAAGTCAGCTTTCACTCCAAGACAGAGAGGGGAGGTTTAAGTGAGGTAAGGTGCAGAATCCCCCACCTCTGGAGCCTCAGCAATCCAGACGGTCTGCAGAAAGGGCTTCCCCACTCACTGCCCATTGAGGTTCATTATTCTCACAATGCTGTTTGCTCTCAGACAACTGTAACAGAAAAATCCTCAGAAGGTGCTGTGTTTTTTTTTTTTTGTTTTCTTTTTGATTTTTGTGTGTGTGAGTAAAGGTGACAGATTTAGGGCCTCAGCAAGATGCCCACTCTCTGTGCTAGTCCTACTCTGGAGGAAATGCCCAGCAGCATTTACCCCAGCCTCTCATCCGGCCTCAGCTTCACTTCCAGACAGAGAAGCAGGGAATGCCAGAACAGGGCAGGAACACTGAGGCTTCGCCAGGGGAAGGTCCATCAGAGTGGATTCAATGACACTCCCTCAGTGCACGCTGCCTGCCAGGCATCTGGCCATCCAGCTATGCCTGGACACTCTCAGGGACAGGCTGCTCTGCCCTCCTATGGCAGTCTGCTCCATTTTGTTCAGTTTTGAGTGGTTCCCAGTTTTCTAATCTGAGACAAAATTGACCTCCCTATAACTTCCCTGTTTATCCAAAGCCCTCCTGGGAGTCCAAAGCACACCAGTGCCCCTCCTGCTTGTGACAAGTGCAGAGATGTCTCACACACACACACACACACACACACACACACACACACACACACACACAGCAGCTTGTGTTCTCTTTCCTTGACAAGACTTTGGCCAGCTAGCAATGACATTTGGTGTGTTGGTTCTTATTTTCCAGAATACAGCGGTACCTCAGTTTTTGAACATCTCTGTTGATAAACATTTCAGTTTACGAACACTGTAAATGCAGAAGGAAATGCTTCAGTTTTCGAACATGCCTCGGAAGTCGACCATGCCACACTGCTTCCGCTGAGGGCAGGATCCTGAGGCCTAGCTGTGGGCTGTGGACCCCTCAGTTTTCGAACATTTCAGAACTTGACCGGTCTTCTGGAGTGGATCACATTTGAAAACCAAGGTACCACTGTACATGTTTACTATGGAGGCCACTGTACTGGAGGTAAGAGTTGGGGCAGAGGGACTAGCTTGGGGTCACATTGTCAGCCTGTGACAAAGCTGGGGTCAGAACATTTCTCAGGTTTACTGATTTGCAGCCTGTGATTCCCTCAACCGAGATTTGGGCTGCCTCCCCCACTGCTGGGCCATAGATAGAACCCCGGTGATGCCCTGGTGCCTCTCAGCCCCTGCCATGTGCCTGGGCCAGGTTGGAGCTTTCAGTGGACAGAGTCCATGTCTCTCTCTTTCCTCCTCATCCTTGCACACCCCCAACCCCCAGAAGGAGCATTTGGCACCAAGCTGCGGCCTGATCCTGCACCCTCCCTTCTCCTGCCTCCACACAGGTGGCACTCACATGTGGCCTCCAGGCCGGTCCTCCCTGGTGAGCATTCCCTCCTTCTCCATCAGCATCTGCCGGAAAGTCCTGACCTTCTGTCGGGTTTCCTCTTCAGAGTACCTGCAGGGGTGCAGGGAGGGCGAGAGCTGCTCTCTTGGCTTTGGTTCCTTTCCAGCCTGTGCCTCCCCCTCTCCTTCCCCTTCCCCCAGGCTTCAGTCACAAGAACATTTTCCAACTTGGGATGATCTGTCCAAGCAAGGTTCTCAGTGCTGGGGAAGCTCAAGGCCTGCCCACTTTGTACCAAAACAGTCAGCTAACCAACTAAATAAACCACCAGCCAAACAAACAAATAAACTAAAAGAAGTTGTTCCTAGAGGTGGAGAGACTGACTAGGTGAGGCGATGCCCTTTCTCCTGGCACTCATTCATTCCCAGGGCAGGCTTCCCTCCCACATCCAGGCTGCAGTCCCTCTCTGGATACATTTTAGGGAGAAGTGAGAATCCATGGCTTTTTCTGCTTTCCTGGCCTCAAGGACATCGATTCTCACAGTAGCCTTGGGACGTCCTTAGAGCATTCCCATCTCTGCAAGATCAAGGCTACTAAGTGGCTTGTTGGGGATCCCAATGCTAGATCCATTGTTTCCCTCTGAGCCGGGTGGATGAAATCTGGGCCTTGAATGGAAGTTCCTCACTTCTCTACTCCCTTTTCCCTCCAGGTTTCAGGCTAGGGACCAAAGTCCAGAATTCTCTGCTCCTCATCGTTGCTCCCACACCTGGGAGTCAGTCTTCACCCTCTCTCATGGCACCACTGTGACAGCTGCTGCCCGGGCCTTCCAGCTCCTCTGGCATTTCTTTCTCCAGCATGTGTCCATGCGGCCCAGGTGGGGGGTGTTTTTGTTTGCCCAGGCCCTTGCCCTATGCTAGGGACACAGCAGGTATCCAGTGGCTGCTGCTGAATGAATCTTGGGGTCCCCAGCCCCTACCCTCTCTCCTCCCTGGGCTGCAAGTCATTGTCCTGGACAGAAAACATGGTGGCAAATAGGAACAGGGGTCCTGTCTTGTCTCTATCATCCGGTCACCATTCACCCTCTGTCGACGCAGCAGGCCCAGCCCTCCCCACTCAGCCTGTTCATGAAACAGTACACTGTTCCCTCTTAGGGACTCCAGGTCTTTTCTCCAACCTTTTCTCTTCAATCCTTTCTCCCCTTCTTCAACAAGCATGTGTGGATTGGCCCTGCCTTTTTAGAGAGCAACTGGGCAATTCTTTTCAAAAGCCTTAAAAAATGAACACTCCCTTTGACTCCTAAATTGATGTCCAGGTTTACCCTGAGGAAATAATCATGGCTAAGCACAAAGATGTGACTCATAGGATGTTTACAACAGCATGAATACCCTCCGACCAGGTTAGGAGCTGCTGTTTGTGTTTTTATAGCAGCCAGTACCTCCTGGATCCTGGCAGGTGGTCCATGTGCTAGTCATTATGTGTTGACTCCTCTGTGTTCTGCCCTGGCCTGGGCGTTCCCTGAGGGCAGGGACCTTGTCTGTCTGGATTGCCATTGTGTCTCCAGCACTTGGCACCTTGCTTGCCACATGTGGCACCCCAAATTTTTGATAAATGAGTGACTGGTGATGGAGAGGCATTGAAGAGTTTGAAGTTTGGATTTTTACTTTGGAAAGGTGGCTTTGGTGGCTATGTGGCTACAGGAGAAGGACCTGGAGGTGTGGGGGCCGCCATTGGGCTACCACAGGGGTTCATGCAGGAGATGGTGAAATGAGAGCTAGAGAGTGGGCCTGAAGGTGGAGGGGAAGAAGTAGACAAAAAACTGTCTAGGTGGAAGAATGGCTGGGTCTCAGGGACTGATTGAACATGCTGGGGAGCAGGGGTAGATGAGAAGCACAACTTTTTAACCAGATGTCCCTTGTCCTCTGATCCTCTGCAGGTTCAGGCACCTGTGTGGCCCACCATAGGGAGGGTTGAATCCTGCCTGGAAGGGGGAAAGGCCCATCTTTCCCAACTCCTCACCTCATCACAGGGAGGATATGTGTGTGTGGGGATGAGGGGGTGCTCAGGCCACACTATACTGATACCTCTAATCCAGCTTCACCAAGCTCTGGGCCTGGGCCCATGGTGTCCACCTCATTCCCTGTTTAGCACTCAGCTGGAGAGTCCTTGTCCTTGTGCATTGGGCAGTACAGAGCTCTCAGGTGGCTGGACTGGCCTGGTGCCCAAGAAGAAGGGATGGTGGCCTCTCTGAGCAGTGGAGGCACAGAGGAACTGCTCCCATCTCACCTTTTCAGGAAGCCAGCTTGTCATTGCCACCAGCACAGAGACAAACAGCATAGGCCCTTTAAACTGCTCAGTCCCAGACCCATAGACCTCTGGGAGGGAGACACAGGGTGGCTGGACCATTGGCATGGGGCCCTAGAAGTGGTGGGGCTGGGGAGGAGACGGCCTAAGAGTAAGGCTGGGCCAGATCCCCAGGTGGATAGGAGGGGCTTCAGGTCAGGGTCCAAGCCCCATGCCTGGGGTTCTATGGAGCATGTAAGGCTGGGAGATGGGTTTCATTAAGACCTGGAATAGGACATGTGCAGGGACTTGGGGCTCATCCCAGAGCTGCCAGATTTAAGGCAAGTTGACTAACTTCAACACTTGTCGTTAGGGGGCTGGGAGGGCTGGATTGAACCAACTAGGAGGCTTAGGGAGGACCACTCTATGCCCCAGGGTTTCATGCTGGGAGAAACTGGGGACCCAGGGATAACATCTGGTTATTTGGCAAAGAGGTCTCAAGTGTGACCACCACCTCCCAGTCTCCCCTTTCCTCATATCTCTTGAGGCCAACCCTCTCAGTTGAGGCCCTGTGGGACAGTGATTAAGGGGTGAGCCAGGAGAGCTAGGCAGTCCTATTTTTGAGTCCTGGCACTCCCCCCCCCGCTTTCTAGTTTTGTGACCTTGGACAAGTCCTTACACTTCTCTTAGCCTTAGCTCCTACATCTGTGAAATGGGATAGTAACCTGCCTTTCAAAATTGTCACAAGGATTAAGAGAGATGGTGCATATAAAGCCCTTTGTCGGGCATAGTTGGTGCTCAATAAATTGTAGTGACTGAGTATTTTTGTTCCAGAGTGGTGTGGACAGAGGGTCTAGCTATCCCAGGCACTCTGCCTTTTTCTACTCCAGACCTCTGCCAGCTCAGCAAGGTCCCAGGTCAGGAGTTACCTGGGCCTCTTCACCGTGCATTCCCAGGAGGCAAAGGCTGACATGGAAGGGAAGCTGGTACCCAACCACCCACTCTCTGTGAAAGTGGTAGCATCTGCCAACTTAAGGCCATGCAGGAGGCCTGGCTAGCATTGGCCAAAGCTTCATACTAAAAATCAAGGGCTTGGACAGGGGAATGGAGATAGGGAGGACAATGATGTCTATCTCCCTCGTCCCCATTCCACTGTATGGGAAGGACATGCCAAATCTGTTGTTGCTTTGGGGACTTCCTGGGTTGCCCTCTGGAGCTGGAGTGGGATGAGGGGACACTGTATTTTAAAAGAGGTCCCCAGAGTGGAAAACGTTTCATTCTCCTTGCCCAGACCCAGGGCTCCTAGATAATTCCTTCCTTGATCATTAATTTGGTTTTCCCTGTAGCTCTGAGGGGTAGATGGCCTCACTATTCCCATTTTATAGATGAGGAAACAGAACAGGGAGAGGGCTCAAAGCTTCAAGTCCAGCTAGGGGCAGAGCTTGCTCTGTCCACCTTGGCACCACCACCATTACCACTGTGTCCTCACAGAAAGGAGCCTGGGAAGGGGAGGAGGGGGATGTTTGTGATGGGGGAGGGGGTCCGGTATCACATTGCACAGGCTCCCCAGCTCTGTCCCCACCCCCATAGTGATTGCAGGCTGCACACAGAGGCTACCCTGGAAGGTGATTTCAAATGCAGCATCAGTCACCTGTGAATTAGCTGGCCATCCATCAATATTAAGAAAGGGATCGCTTTTTAATGGGGCCAAAGAATGTGTGTTCCTGTAACTAGTGGGAATATTTGTCAAATGCCTGAGAACCTGGTAAATAAATGCGAATGAACCAGTGTTTCTAGAACTGGATATTAATGACTAGATTTGATAACAGGGCAAGGGTCCCTAATGTTTGTGGAGCACTTTCTGGGGACTGACTGGGGGTCGAGGAGCCCTGTAGGTGCATGCCTTAGTTCACAGGACCCTCAGAACAATTCTGGAAGACTTATTTTATAGGTGAGTAATTGTGGCTTGCCCAAGGTCACAGGCCTGGGTCAAAAGCCTGGATTGTTGGGTTTCAGGGTGGCTGTGGCCTTCACTCCTCAGGCTGCTACTAAGTGATGGGAGGGGAGGAGGATGGTGACTGGAGAGAGAGCTTTGTGGGAAGCCCCAGTCTAAGGACCACCTGCAGTGAGGGCTTGGGTGTGAGGAAGGGGCTGGGACTGAACATCTGGAGACCTAGTAGGTGCTTCCCAGAGAGGCACAGGTCATTGATGCCTGGGGAATGACACCAAAGACATAGCCAAATGCCATCCCCTTCCACCTGAGACTGCCCTCATCTGGTAAAGGCCCTCCCAAGAGCAGTGAGGGGCTGGGGCTCCTGGAGGAGAAGATTCAGCCAGGGGGAAGAGACTCGGGGAAGGAGAGGAGCTTCATGAAGGAGGTGGCTCGGGCTTCCCTGAAAGAAGGGCTCTGGAGGGGTCAGATTTCAGAATGGAAGACTCAGTGAAGTGGGGGGGAGGCTTAGTGAGGGGAGAGGTGCTCAGGGAGATAGGGGGCCTCTGTGAGGGGGAGGGAGCAGAGTCCATTGTGCTTTCTTGTCTGGCTGCAGCAGGTGCTTGGCACAATCTAGGTAGCTTGATCCACCCATTTTATAGAAGGGAAACCTGAGGCTTCGAGTTGTCATGGATGTTTACATGCCTCTCTCCTCCACTGGACTGGACTGGATGTTTTTGGAAAGCATGAATTGTGTCTCCTTGGTTTCTGTGAATTTGAGTCCAGTTCAGAGGTGTTCAAGACAGTTTGTTGGTTGAATAAACTAATAAATGGGCTTATAAAAAATGGGCTGGGCTTGCAATGACTCCACTTGGGCTGTTTCAGACTCCCGTCCCTTGCCTGGTTCCAGGGTCCCCAAGCTTGCATAGTTCCTCCCTCTGCCCCGCGCCTTGGCCCTATCCCGCAGCCAGGACGTCCCCTCTTTCGACCCCGCGCGAGCTCACCCCTGTTCCTCCATCATCTCCTGCAGCTCCATGCACTTGAGCTCCACGCGCCGCTTGCGCTCGTGGTCCAGGATCTCGCGGTGCGCGCGCTTCACCAGGCCCGGCTCAGCGGCGCGCATCTCCTCCTCCGCCCGCGGCCAGTTCCCGGAGGAGGCGCCGGGCTGCGGGAAGCCGTTAGCGGCATCGGGCGGGGACGGCATGCTGGCCGCCCCGTTGTTAACGGTGGAGGACATAGCAGCTGGCCCCGCACTACTGGCCTGGGCCCTGAGGGACAGACACAGACACGAGGCGGGATGGTCACTTCTCGGCCACCTGCTAAGCTCCTCTCTGCGCAGTTAATCCTGGAGATTTAAAGGCCCACTCATGGCTCTAATCCGCTTCCCCTCAGGCTGCGGAGGGGGATGGACAGCAGGTTTGCACCTTTGGGTCACACCTCAGAGCATGAGGGGGCATTGGACACTGGGCTTTCCCGTCTGTAAGATGAGTGAATGCAAGCGGGGCTATAGATAGTCTCTAAGGGCCCTTGGCTTGGAAAGGAGTCATTTTCAGGGACCTAGTAACCACCTAGGGCAACCCTCTCTGCCTTGTACCAGTGCCTGGGCCTGACCACCTAGCACCTGCCTCCACACCTGCTTGCAACTCCCCAGGCAATCAAATTAGTTCCTGGGAACATTTGTTAGTTTTATTCTTGTTTTCCTTCAAGAAAACCTCCTCCTCCCCAAAACACTCATTGTCCTGGCTTTGGCTGGTGGCATCACAGACCACATGTGCTCCCACCTCCCAGTCTGCTCCCAGGGCAGCCCTGCAGAGATGGGAAGACAGAGCCTTCTCCGGGCTTAGGGGCATTCCCACCACAGATGCAGTTTTCGGTTCCCACTTTAATTTGGCTGACTTCTCCAAAGCCAACAGTCCGGGTGGGGGACTGATCCAGATTGAAGCCCATAGGACTGTCCCCTCATTGTCTGAGAAACACTGCTTCTGAGGATGTGGCCAGAAGTGGCACTGACATTAGCTTTCCGGGCAGACACATCCTCCTATAGGCTCAGGGTGACATGGGAGTCAGCATGGCTTGGGAGGTAAGAAGTCCTGGTTTCACACTAGGCCCAAAGTAAGGCATGTGCGTGCATTTGCCCAGGCACATGTGTGCACACGCACACATACACACCAAGGACCTATCTTAACAGGGAGGTACTTCCTGAGCTATTTCCATTTTCTTTCTCCAAGGCTCTGCTAGTTGCTAAGCAACAGGGAGGCCTCCTTCCCAGGGAGTGGGATGGGAGGGAGGGAAAGTGTGGAGGGAGGTGGGAAGAGAAGAGATTGGGCATGTCTGGACATCCTGAATGGACCTTCCCTGCAACACAACCCCCAACACACACTCTCCTTACTAACCTCAGAGTGATGGGAGTGGGGGAAATTCAGAGCCACAGAGATTGGAAGGCAGATGAGAGAGAGGGGGACTGTGAGAGGCACTAGAAGCTCTAAAGGGGACAGAGTAACAGTGGTTATGAGAACATAAGCTCCTTTATATGTCCATCACCTTAAGTCCCAAGTCCCTGGGGTCTAGGCCAGGCTCCTCCACTCTTTGCTCTGTGACCCTGAAAGCATCACTGTCCCTCTCTGAACCTCTGATCCCCACCTGTGCCTGGAGCATCATCCAGACTCTTCAGGAGAGGAGGGCTCTTGGAGGTTTACAGACCAGAGCTGTTTTCTTTAACCTTTCTCCACCCCAAACCCTGCAGGCATCCTGCCTGTCCCTATCCCACCTCTGCACCCCAGCTCCACCAGGGCTTCTCCTGGGGCACCCTATAAGCATCACCTACTCCCCTGCCCCCACCCAGAGCACTAGGAATCCTGCTCCACCTGCCTTGGCCGCTGTGCTTAGCTCATAGGTAACCCCTCCATATGTTGGTCACCTGAGCCAGGGGCACATATGGAGTTTGGAGACCTCCACTGCCTTGGCCCACTGCAGCTCACATGTCATCATCCCCTCTTCCCAGCATCACTCACATTTATCCACCTCCTTCTCTCCCATTACCATCTCAATCCAAGCCCCTTACTCTGGTCTACTCTGGCCTCAGTGTCCTGCATGGCACCTCCTGACCTGTCTATCCATGCCGCATCAGCAACCTGGGAGATCAGTCCAGGAGCAAATCAGACATGTCATGCTCTGATTAACAGCCTCTAGTGGCTTCCTGTCACCTTGGCTTAAGGTCATGACCTGACCTGCCTTTTGGTCTAGCTGTCCACACCCCTTCCAACAGATTGTCCATCTTTCTTGCCTCTCCGTTGCCCGGGGATACCCTTCTGATTTTTACATGTTCTCAAAGTAACTGCTCATATGCATCACCACCTTCTGGAAGCTTTCACTTAGCCCTCTGGCAGGTGCTGCCCTCCCAGAGCTCTTGCCACTCACTGTTGTCACTGTGGGTTCACAGGCCTGGCTCCCCCTGGGCTGGGGGCAGTTTAGTTTTCTGCTCCCAGTGCCAGCAAAGTGCCTGAGCAGGTGGAGCTCAATGCATATGGGCAGAGCAAATGGAAAACAATTATTATGGGAGGCAGGATGGAGGACTATCTGGCACAGTCCTTAATACAGCCTGCAAGGCCCCTTCATGTTTTGCCTTATGCTATCTCTCAGCTTCATCCGTTGCTACACCTCATCCTGCAACCAACCTCCAGCCCCTCAGCCTTGGTCATCTGTTCCCAGCCAAGCATTCTCACTCCTTTGTGCCTTCGCCCATGAGGTTACCCTGTGCTGGAATACCTGTTCCCCTCTTCTCCATCAGCGAACTTCTACTCATCCTTCAGTGCCTAGCCCAAATGTCACCTCCCCTGGGAAGCCTTCTCCACTTCTGAGGAATGATGAGTCATTCCCTCCTTCACTCCCACTGCTTTTGTCCTCACCTCTTTAGATACTGAGGTTCAACTTGTTGTTTTCATCTGACCCTTGTTCTAGACTGTGAACCCTCTGCGGGGACTGGACAATCTCTTCCTTATAGCTTCTCAGAGCCTCCACAGAACCTGGCAATGCAGGAGGCACACTGAAGGTGTGGTAGAAAGCCAGCTTCTTAGTCATGCTGCTCTGAAGGCTTACCCTCTGATGTGGGTGAGGCTCCCCAGCCTAGAGCTTGGCCCAAGCTCCTTGAAGGGAGGAGAAGAGAAGCTGATGGGGGGAGTTCTGAATGTACTCAGATCTCTAGACCCCAAGAAATTCTATCCCCAGCACTGGGAAAATGTCTTAGGCTACCAGGGGCAATCTTTCAGGTTGTGGAGGTACAGGGAGAAGGTGCCGTCTGCATTTGCTCTAGGACAGATGGTGGATTCTACCAACTTATGGTGAGTTGGAGGGTGCCAGGCAGGAAGCTGAGGTAGGTTATTAAAAGCATGACCCTTGAACACCTAGAGAAGAACCCAGGGGTCATTGCACACTAAGCCCACCTCTTTCCAAGTTAGGGTTGCTGGACCAGCAAACCGGGGAGTTACTGCAGACAGGGTCTCTCTGTGAGGCATCTGACATTATCTTTTATGGAATCCTTATGAGATTTCATAAGGCAGAGGGACATCATACTGGTTAGAGTGTCAGCCCTCGCACCAAAGGGTTGCTGGTTTGATTCCCAGTCAAGGGCACATACCTGGGTGCAGGTTCGATCCCCAGCCCCAGTAGGGATGAATGTGGGAGGCAACCAATCGATATGTTTCTCTCACATTGATGTTCTCTCTCTCTCTCTCCCTCTCTCTCTAAAAATCAATGGAAAAAATATACTCAGGTGAGGATTAATAACAACAACAAAAGAATATACAGGCTATCAGAATCCCTATCTTTAAATATTTGAAGGCTTGTAGAGGATATAGGCCAAACCTGGCTGAATCTTCTGGGAAGCTTGTAAGAAGTAGGTAGGGTTGCCAAATTTGGCAAATAAAAATATAGGATGTGCAGCTAAATTAAATTTGAATTCCATGAATTTCATATTTGGGACATACTTATATTTAAAAAAATATTCACTGTTTATTTGAAATTCAAATTTAACCTGGTGTCTTGTATTTCACATGTTCATCCTACCTGAGACTCACCCCAGACCTACTGAATCAAAATCTCCAGAGGAGAAAAAAAAAATCTCCGAAGGTGAAATTGGTAATGTTCCCCAGGTGATTCTGATATAGACTATGGACCAGCAATTGGGAACCCTGTCAGAGCAGAGGTTCTCAGATTCTATTAGGCCTCAGAGTCACCTGGAGGGCTTGTTAAAACACAGTGGGCTGGGCCCCACGCTGAGTTTCTGACTCAATAGATCTGGGGTAGTGTCTGAGAATTTGCACTTCCAACAGGTTCCCAAGTGCTGTCTTTTGACCACACAGAGAGGAGCAGGGCCCTAGCTTATCTGTCACTCTCTCCCCTTCAGAGACTCACCCACTGCTGGCCTTTGTCCTAGAAGACAAAGCCAGGATTCCGGCAGGGAAGTCATCTAGAGTGGACTTCAGTAAGTCCATGACAGGATTTTTCCGCCCTAACAATCAAATCTTAAAAAACAATAAAAAACCCTAAGCAGTTCAGTTCATGCCAGGATGAGTTCCCCGTTACAGGAATTGTTCAGACAGGAGTTGGATACTATGTTCATTCAAACACTCACCCAACATCTACTCTGGGCCCCACCCTATGAAAGGCTGAGGACTTGGAGATGAATGAGACCCCATCCTTGCCTGGAAGCTCACAAGATAACAATTGGTTTTGGAAACCAATTGTTATCTGGGTCTAGTGTGAATAAAGAGAATTTGAGGAGTGTCTGTAGCTTTGTCTGGTTGGTCAGGGCAGGCTTCCCAGAGGGGGTGGGAGGGTCTGGAGGCAGCGACACTGGAGTAGGTGAGGCCTGAGCAGAGAGAGTAACCAAAGAATTTATATGCATATATGCACAACCCAAGGACACAGACAATGGTGGGGAGCAGGACTGGGGAGGGGGAAGTAACAGGGGAGGGAAGGGGGGGGAACAGGTCATTGGGGAGAAAAAGGGACATCTGTAATACTTTAAACAAAAAATAAAATAAAATAAATAAAAAAGAGACAGACTTGGCAGGATGTGACTGGATGTGGGGTGGTGGGGAGGTGTCTTGGATGACACTGACTTGGGTGACCAGGTGGATGGTGTAGCCATTTACTGTGATGGGGAACATGGAGGGTAGATTGAGAGTGTGCTGAGGGTGAGAGGTTTGGGGGGGGTCAAGCAGGCAGATATGACATCTA